CTGTGCCAGGGCCATCCCAGCCGGCTCTGGCCATGGACAGAAGGGAGCAGGGACCAGCTGGATCAGCCCGAAGCTGCTGGCCACGAATCCCCCAGGTGCCCTGAAACCTCTGTGTGCTCTGCCCACGCCGGCCCTGGTCCGCACAGGGAGCAGAGCCCTCCGCAGCCGGGGCAGGGCTCCCAGCTCCCCCGCCAGCCCCCGCTGGCAGCCCGCTGCCCTCACTCACCCTCAGAGATGAGCTGGAGCTCTTTGGTCCTCCCCCTCAGGTACTGCCCGGCCGTCCCTGGGAACACAGAGCCTGTCAGGCCCAGCGGCACAGCTCCCTGCCAGCGGCGCTGCCAGCCCTGTGCCCACACGGCCTCCTGGCCCGGCAGGGCTCGGGCCGGGCCCTCGCCGCTCGCTGCCGCCCCAGGGCACGGCTGGAGAGGGCGGCAGCAGCGCCCAGGGCAGGCGGGGCTCCGCGGCACCGGCCCGGGGCTGGGGCCGAGCTGCGGCGGGGCGGGGAGGGAGCTCGGGCTCCTGGCTCACCCATGAACCTGACGGCCGCCTCTCGCAGGGGCTGCTGTAGGTTCTGCAGGTAGGGCAGGGCCCGGCGCAGGTGCTCGGCCACTCTGCTCCTGTCCTCTGCCAGCTGCAGAGAGCGGCAGCAGGGAAGGGTTGGCGCGGGCTCAGCCCCTGGGCCGGGCGCTCTCCGCGCCAGCCCCGGCCTCCCCTGCCCGCACAGCCCTGAGGCGCGGCCAGCAGCCGCCGGCGCCGGGCTCTGGAGGGGGCAGAGGGCCGGCTGCTGCCCGGGGAGCCGCGGTGCCGCCCCGCAGCCCCGCCGGGCCGGGGCTCCATCGGCACCCGGCTCGGGCCGCAGGAGCCGGCACGGCCTCGGGCTGCAGCAGCGGGCAGGGGCACAGCTGCCAGCCTGCACACCGAGCACCGCGCTCAGGGGGCTTCTCCAGCCTGGGGCTGCGGCTTCCCGGCCCTCCTTACCAGCCACTCTGTGAACTTCCACAGCTTCTTGCTCTTCACCAGCTTTTCAAGTTCCGTCCTCTTCAGGAACTCGGCCGCACACAGAAGCGTTTCCTGAGAAGCCTGGAGAGCAGCAGAGACGTGGAGATGGCCCCACAGCCCAGGGCGCAGGACCTGTGTCCCTGTGCCAGGGCCTGGAGGAGGCTGCAGCCCACGAGGCGCCAGGGCAGGAGGCAGCCCAGCCCCCTCCCAGGGGAACAGCAGCAGCCCACGAGTCCTCACCTGTGCCACTCGCTGATTCTCATCATGGCAGTGGAAGAAGAGTGGCAGCAGGCTCTGGTGCACGTGTGTCTTCAGAGCCCCTTTTTCCTTTTCTTGTGGAAGAGTCACCAATGTTCCAAGGAGCACTATGGAGAGCAGCTGCACCTGGCTATTGTCCTGTATGAAGGGAAGAAAAAAAGACCTCAGCATCGGCTGCACGGAGCTCAGCTTGGTGCAGGCCTGCAAATCCGCAGGGCACAAAGTGTCCGGGCAGCAGCCAGTGGCCATGGCTGGGGGCAGTGAGCCTTACGTGGTCAAGGAGTGGCAGGAGAGCCTCAACCAGCTGCAGTGCGATAGAGCTGGGTATCAGCATGTCCTTTTCCAAGATGATAAAGTTGAGGAGCATGGCTGTCATGCTAACTATCTCTCCATCTGCGTCCCAGAGGAGCTCCACAAGACTTTCAGTCAGGCTCCACATTTTTTTGCTCTGTGCGGAACACAAGTTTGTGAAACGCCATCCTGCTGCCGCAGGGCCTAGAGGCCAAAGGGCTGTTCTGAAGCACTTGGGCAGCTGAAGCAGGAGGCAGGAGAGCTGGGAGCAGCTGGCCCAGTGCCCAAAGCCCAGCCAAGCCCAAGTGACTGCATTCCCGAGCGCAGCCTCAGCCCTTGCCCCCTTCTCACCATCAAGGGATTGTTGATGAGATCAAGAAGGGCTCTGAGCACCAGGTGACACTTCTCTCTGCACCCGCTCTGCAGGTGCCTTGACAAGATTTGCAGGACTCTGTCAGCACCGCGTTCACTCATGTCCAGGCACTTGAGGACCTGAAAGGCACAGGGCAGTGACAGGGGACCAGCCAGCAGGAGCCCAGAACCGCACAGGGCTGAGCCCAGGCAGCAGCACAGGGCGCGGGCTCCGTCCCAGGCAGCTGTGGCTACGAGAGGGCAGAGAGCCGGGAGGCAGCTGAGCGAGGCAGTGCTGGCCTTCAGGCTCACCTCCACAAAGAACGCCAGGGAGGGCAGCTCCCAGCGTGGCTCCTGTGTGCTGAGCAGCCGGAGCAGGTAGCGAGCGATCCGGGAGCACAAGGGGATGGAGACACAGGACATCTCCCTGGCAGGAGACAAAGTAACCAAGACTGTGGGCCAGGGGGACAAACCTCTCCCAGGACTGACTCACAGAGGTCTGGTCTTTCCCCAGCATCCTGCAAGGGCCCCTGGGCTATTTGGGAGGTGGCTCCTTGTGGGAACCCTCCTCTCCCAGCCTTTTCCAGTCTGCTTGGCTGTCCCTGGGTGACAAGGCCCTCTGGCCCGTGACCACAGGCACTGTATGGGGCACCCCAGGCACAGAGCACAAATGTCAGAGGCAGCGGGGAGAAGGGGGGTCTCACTTGGCCAGCAGACCCACGGCATGGTGGTAGGTGTCAGCACACAGCAGCTTGTCCCAGCCACACTTGCGTTCCATTGCCACCACCACATCCTCGTGCTGCATTTGGCAGAGCAGGGACTTCAGGGTCTGCACTGCAAACCTGTGTGCAGAGCAAAGCCCGGGTCACGCTGGGAGCACTGGCTCCTGCCCAGGGATGTGGCAAGGACAGGAGGACTGGCATGGAGCACCTGTTGGGGCTGGTGTCAAGGCCATATTGCTGCTGGCATCCCTTCCAGAAGGTATTGACCTCCTCTGGCACATCCAGAGTGCTGAAGAGCACTTGGAAGAGCAGATGCACCAATAGGTGGGGGAGATACACAGTCACCATATGTGGGACACAGGGCAGCTGGAGGATCTTCCACATCAGCACAGTTGCCTGCAAAGGACAGAGCAGCCCGAGACAGCGCTCAGTGCCGAGGTGTTCGTGTGGCAGGGCCCGAGAACGGGAGGGAGAGGCCTGGAGAGCCACAGGGGAGCACCGGGCCTGGTGGCCCTGAAGCTGCCCCGAGGCCAGGTTTCAGCCCAGCGCCTGAGGCAGGGAGACGCCGTGAGGGAGGGAGGATGGAGAGCTGCTGGAGAGGTGGCCTTGGGCCAGCAAAGGCCAGTTGCAGAAACTCACAGCCAGGACAAAGACACCCGTTTTGTCCCCATCGGAGGTGCACGTGCTGTGCTCTGGCCAGCTGCCCAGCACATCGAGGAGTACGAGCATGGCCGGCTCTGCAGTCCTGGGCGAACACATGATGCTCTTCCACATGGTCAAAGCAGCTCTGTGGGGTCAGAGCTCTGTCTCAGGGGGGTCTGAGACACAGCACCGTGGCCTGGGCAGCAGTGGGGACCTGAGCTGGCTGCCAGCCCTGCCTCTGCCCACTGCCCCTCACCAGTAGCACTCAGGCAGCCCAGCCCTGTAGGGACGGGCCCCTGAGGGGCAGCGAGGGAGCAGCAGGCTCGGGGGCTGATGTGCCAGGGCTGGCAAAGGGAGCAGCCAGAGGGCCCTGGGACTCTCTGTTGGTCAGACACCTGGGACAGGCTGTACAGGCTGATGGGCTGGGGAGCCCTGAGCCCTCTGGGCAGGTGGGCCCCATACCTGTCACACAATGGGGCCACACGCAGGAGCGTCATGACTACGTCAGCGGGCCGTTCTTCGGTGAGATCCAGCAGGGTCCTGTTCAGCCTGTGCTCAGCAAACTGGTTGGCCTCGAGCCACTGGTGGATGTACCTCACCATGGCGGGCACCTGGAGAAGGCACGAGGACACTTGGAAAGCTGCCAGAGGGAGGAATGTGCCCAGCTGCCCCAGAGAAGTGCTTCCCTTGCCACCACACTGCCATGGCCTCAAAGGCTTCCAGGGAGCAGCAGACGTGGCTTGGGAGGCCAAGTAATTCCTGGGAGGCTCAAAGCCTGGCCACAGGCTGCTTACTTGCTTTGGATTGGAAAACCCCTCCTCTACCAGCATATCAGCCAGGGCAGCACAGGTCTGGGTTTTGAAGATGTGCGAATATGCTCTGGGCCCTGTGCCCATGGTGGTCTCTTCCTCCCGGATCCTCTTCATGAATTTGCAAACCAGCTGTAGGAGAAGGGCAGGAAGCCAGGGATATTCCATGGAATTCTCCAAGCATGGTGCTTGGCTGAGCAGTGCCAGCAGGCCCAGCCCAGGTGGGGATGGCTGCAGGTACCTGCGCTGTTCTGCGGAAGCGGCCACGGGTGCGTTTCTGCTCTTGTGTGCGCTCCACGGCTGCACCTGGCAAAGAGCGAGCGCAGCCCGAGCTGAGGGGCTGCGGGAGAGGCCGGAGAACACAGCCCAGCCCTGCACTGCCCAGGCAGGGACAGCCCTGCGACGCCCCAGGGCATGGAGCACGGCTGTGGGGTGTCTGCCCGGCCCCTATTCCATCCTGTCCATGGGCATGGCCCCAGGGGATGGGATGGGATGGGATGGGATGGGATGGGATGGGATGGGATGGGATGGGATGGGATGGGATGGGATGGGATGGGATGGGATGGGATGGGATGGGATGGGATGGGGTGGGGTGGGGTGGGGTGGGATGGGATGGGGCGGGGCCAAGCTGCCTGCAGCTACTAACTCTGCAGCCCAGCAGCCCAGCTCTGCCACTCACCCTCCTGCAGCTGCTTGAATGGCACCCCTTCTTCAGTCTCGTGTGCAGGGGCAACTCCAGGGCCTTCTTCCTCTTCCTCCACCCAGGCCAGCTTGGGCACTCTTGGGGGTCTCTGCTCCATGTCAGTGGCTGGATTTGTGGTCTGGCCTTGAGGTCAGCTGCAGTAATAACACCTCGAAAAGCTCCAGGTCAGACACGAACGAGTGCGCTGTGTGGGGGCTCCTCACAGCACTGCTCTGTCTCGTCCTGTCCTGTCAAGTGCTTGGAGCACTGTGGAATGGCCTTGTCACCGCCAGCTCCTATGTCACCACGTGTCACAAAGGGTCCTTTGACACGCTGTTCCATGCCATGGTGACCATGCTGCAGCATGTCACAAAGGGCCCCTGCACACACTGCCCCCTGCGCTATGGCCGCCTCCAGCCCACCCAAGATGGCCAGGTTAGAAGGAATCCCTCACCCCAAGTGTCCAAGACAGGCTGACAGAGTCTTTAGGAACGGCTCAAACCATCAGCAAACGCTGCCCTGCTCTGCGGGCTCAGGGCAGCAGGAGCCCCCGCAGCTGGGAAGTGCACAGGGCCTTCCACAGAAGCTGGCACTGCCTCCTTGAGACATGTCCCAGCTGGTGGCCATCCTAAACCCGCAGGTGTGGCACGCACAAGGAATGTGTGGGTCAGGGCACGAATGCTGCTCTGACCCCTGGGGCCCGGGGAGCGCTGACACCAGCAGGTGAGGCAGAGTCCCTGCCCAAGCAGACCTGCCACCCCCCGAGCCCTGGCAGCGCTGGTGCCCTGTCTTCTGCCCCAGAGACCTGTGCCCCTGGGGGGCTTCTGTGCCAGAGGGAGCCAAACCCACGTGCACTGGGGGGCTGTGCTCCTGCCTGCAGGGGCTCTTGGCAGGAGCACCTGGAGCAACTGCTGGCAACACTTGGTCTCTGTCAGAAGCTCTTACTCCATGCTGAAATTATTTTCTCATTGAAGTTATTGCCTTCAGCACAAAAACACCTTAGCAGCAAAGGCACAGAAGAATCTGGCAAGTAAGAATCCTCAGTTCAGGAAAGCTTTACTTCCCATTGCTCAACTCAAGTAGTTCCAAAACATTGCAAACTTCCCAAATTAATTGGGATAGCCTGAGGAGGAGAAGATTTGGAATTTTGCTTCCCATCTCAAAGCAGCAACTCATTTGCCTTAACCTCATCCATTGAGGGTCACTTTACAGAACATAACACTACACAAAACAAGGGCAAAACCAAGGGCCATTCTTTGGTTTGCAAATGGTTTTCTATGAAGGGATGATAATATCCTAATTATCTTAAGGAATAAAAGCTCTCAAGAAATGAAAGTCCACTCAGTGTTACAAAAGTAGCCCAAACAAATGAATAGAAGGAAAAAAGGCTAATCCTCCCCCTGGTAGAGATATCGAATTGTCCAGTAAAGTACAGCTCTCCCCTCTTGTTCCTTGCAGGAGAATCAGGACCATGAAGAGGAAAAATCACAAATATTCTTTCTGCCCTCCGTAACCAAAGCTGTGCCAAACCAGAGATGCTGCCTTCAAACTGACTCAAATTCCAACCTAAACCGCTCACCTTCCAGACAACTCCTTCCCCAACACCCCACCAACACCAACACCCCCAAACTCCGGCACAGAAGCCCTCAACACCCCGTCAGGGGCCCCAGCTGCCCCCGTCCCTCTGCAGAGCTTTCCCAGCCTCCAGCAGATGCCCGGGTTCCCTGCACGTGCCATGGGATGGCACTCAGGAGGATCTGCTCCGAGGCCTTCCCCTGGAGCGAGCTCAGGCTGCCAGGCCTACGGGTCCTGGATCATCCTTCCCACCGAGCCTTCCTGTGCACGGCTGTTCCATCTGCACCTTTGGGCTCAGCTCGGACTTCTCCACCTAACCAGGAGTGTTGCAGCGCGCGTGTGCGGGGCGTGCTGGACGGCTGTGGCACAGGCGTGACTGTCCCCCTGCGAGCTCTGCAATTCCCAGTTATCGGCAGGTCTGGCGCAGGGACAGACAGCGATGACACGGGTCTGGGTGTAGAACAAGATGGATTTATTCCTGGGCTCCCCAGCAAGACTGGGGTGGGGGGTGAACAGAAGTTTTTATACAGCAACTCAGGAGGCGGGTGTAGGAAAGTGAACCAGTGAGGATATGGTAAGGGAGGAATATAAGGTGGGGCAAATAGCTTATGAGCCTATCAGGGAAAACAGGGGAGGGGAATAATACAAAGTAAGGAGTGGGGTATTGTCATGGTTTGACGCTGGCACAATGCCAGCGCCCCATGAAAATACAACTTATCAATCAAATGCTGTGAAATGTGATCAAGAACAGAGCAAAGTAGGCTAAACTTAATAACAAAAGAAAAAGCTTTATTACACTACTACTACTACTACTATAAAAGGAAAAGAAAGGAAAGGAAAAAAAACTACAAAATTCGAAATGAAAACCTTCCAAAACATTTCTCCTCCTTCCACTCAACTCCACCAAACCCCAGCGAGACTCATTTGGATCCTTAATCAAGTTTTCACCTTTCAATATAATCAATACTGAGTCCATTGGGGAAGAGAGGAGTCCCCCTTGCAACTATAGACCCCCAGGAAACACAACTGCCACTTTTTGTGTTTCCAATGTTACATGTGGCATCGCCCAGACACACCGGCCAGTGTGACACTCTCTTCTCCATGTCACAGTGCTCTCACCACCGGGCATGGACAGAGACTGCTTATAGGGCCCCTTTAAGGATGCTTTGCCAAGGACCACCAGGAATAACAGTCCAGTATCACAATTTGGGACTAGAGTCCCCCCCATTTTCCCCTGGGGCCGAGGGTCCAAAAGACAGAGATCGCCTTCTCTTCTTCCTGAAGATGGAGGGCATCCTCACACCCTCCTCAGCTCTCTCTCTGTCCACTCTAAAACTGGTAGTTGCTGCAGAAGGTCTCTTGGTTCACCAATGCATCCCCCTAAAATGCAGTCCTTCTTGAAAGAAAGAGTGGTTCAGTCTATGGTAAACAAGAAGAGTCCAGCCAAAAAGCTACACTATCATCTGCCCTCAACCTTTTTCTCTAAACATCTGAGGTTTCAAGCTGTCTCTCTTTTCTTCAAATTTAGGAGGAGTAATATTTCATAAAGCCTTAATTTCTCAGGAAGGGTTAAAAGTCCCAACTCCCAAGGATGGCTCGCTGCCCAGGCTCCAGCTCCCACAGCCCGGCTGGGCACCTTGCGGCCCCCCCGCTCTTCTCCTTCCCTGCGGCAAACTGCCGATAAAACCACCGCAGTCTCTTTTTCTCTCTTGGGAGAGACAGAGACTCTGGGGGGGGAACGGAGACATCCCAGATTTCTCCACCCTTCCATCTGCAGGAGCTGACCCAGCCGGTTCCGATCCTTTACCTCCTGGCCTACCTGTGCAGGCTGCATGGCTCCCCTCCCCCACCCAGCCCGGGCTGGGCAGGGGAGGTCCGTACCTTGCGATGACCGGAACCAAAGAAGGACGAGTCCTCCTGGGAATTTCGCTTTTAACCCCTCTGTGTTCTCAGAGGAGTGTCCACCTTCAATTGGTCACCCTAAGTGTCAGTATCTAAACCTGACCTCTGACTGGTGAACCTCTTCTTTCTAAAAAAAAAAAATTTTCTTCCCGTGTCAAACCATGACACTCCACCCTTCGCCTCTGAGAACACAGATTACAAAAAATAATTACTAAAACTACATTTAACTAAACTCATGCTTTGCTTTTGTTCCTTTTTGATCCCATCTCACAGCCTTCATCTTATTACCATCTTATCTTACCCAAAATTCGATTTCCCGGTCAGGGAACCAAAAATGTCATGGTTTGACGCTGGCACAATGCCAGCGCCCCATGAAAATACAACTTATCAATCAAATGCTGTAAAATGTGATCAAGAACAGAGCAAAGTAGGCTAAACTTAATAACAAAAGAAAAAGCTTTATTACACTACTACTACTACTACTATAAAAGGAAAAGAAAGGAAAGGAAAAAAAACTACAAAATTCGAAATGAAAACCTTCCAAAACATTTCTCCTCCTTCCACTCAACTCCACCAAACCCCAGCGAGACTCATTTAGATCCTTAATCAAGTTTTCACCTTTCAATATAATCAATACTGAGTCCATTGGGGAAGAGAGGAGTCCCCCTTGCAACTATAAACCCCCAGGAAACACAACTGCCACTTTTTGTGTTTCCAATGTCACACGTGGCACCGCCCAGACACACCGGGCCAGTGTGACACTCTCTTCTCCATGTCACAGTGCTCTCACCACCGGGCATGGACAGAAACTGCTTATAGGGCTCCTTTAAGGATGCTTTGCCAAGGACCACCAGGAATAACAGTCCAGTATCACAATTTGGGACTAGAGTCCCCCCCATTTTCCCCTGAGGCCGAAGGTCCAAAAGACAGAGATCGCCTTCTCTTCTTCTCTGAAGATGGAAGGCATCCTCACACCCTCCTCAGCTCTCTCTCTGTCCACTCTAAAACTGGTAGTTGCTGCAGAAGGTCTCTTGGTTCACCAATGCATCCCCCTAAAATGCAGTCCTTCTTGAAAGAAAGAGTAGTTCAGTCTATAATAAACAAGAAGAGTCCAGCCAAAAAGCTACTCTATCATCTGCCCTCAACCTTTTTCTCTAAACATCTGAAGTTTCAAGCTGTCTCTCTTTTCTTCAAATTTAAGAGGAGTAATATTTCATAAAGCCTTCATTTCTCAGGAAAAGTTAAAAGTCCCAACTCCCAAGGATGGCTCGCTGCCCAGGCTCCAGCTCCCACAGCCCGGCTGGGCACCTTGCGGCCCCCCCCCTCTTCTCCTTCCCTGCAGCGAACTGCTGATAAAACCACCGCAGTCTCTTTTTTCTCTCTTGGGAGAGACAGAGACTCTGGGGGGGGAACGGAGACATCCCAGATTTCTCCACCCTTCCATCTGCAAGAGCTGACCCAGCCGATTCCGATCCTTTACCTCCTGGCCTACCTGTACAGGCTGCATGGCTCCCCTCCCCCACCCAGCCCGGGCTGGGCAGGAGAGGTCCGTATCATGCAATGACCGGAACCAAAGAAAGACGAGTCCTCCTAGGAATTTCGCTTTTAACCCCTCTATGTTCTCAGAAGCGTGTCCACCTTCAATTAGTCACCCTAAGTGTCAGTATCTAAACCTGACCTCTGACTGGTGAACCTCTTCTTTCTAAAAAAAAAAAATTTTCTTCCCGTGTCAAACCATGACAGGTATTGAGGGCAGCAAGACAGACACTGAACTCTGTGGAGAAAGGGGTAGGGATAGGGAGGATTGACAGCTTGGAAGGGAGGAGGTTAGGGAATGACTTGGGAAAATTGCCAACAGGGACAGGGAGTGGATTAGGGGGGAGAACAGGGGGCAAACATGAATTCAAAGCAAAACACACTGCAATATCTCCCTGTGTCTTTTTACAAAAGGGAGGAGAGTTCTGGGGTTCAAAACAAATTAATGAATCTATTACGTAGCATATCATATACATAATCCATCATATAACATATTTTAGCATGTGACAAATTATTACAGCAACAGAAAAGAATTCAAAAATTATCAGGAAAAAATGAACTATTCATGACCATAAGGCATGGGGTAAGGATCTTCTTTGCATAAGAAACTTAATATAAAATGTACAAAGTTATTATATATGGAATCAGGGTCCGGAGGAGGAATTGCAGTGGAATTATTTTGAAGTAAGACTGGGCTTGAAGCATGAATCACCGAGGAATCTGCAGGTTCTGGCTTTCTGGGGTTTGAAAGTGATTTTGGAGGTCACTCCTCCTGTAGGATGTGATCAGCAAATGGAGATGTGGTCTTGCTCATTTTATTTTATGCTACTGTGGGTATTAACTGGACAGAATGATTCCTCTCTCTATAATATATAACTTCTTAAGCAGATTATTTTAAAGTATCAAGAATATAATGAACAATTTTTTAGTCAAGAAATTTAGTTGGGAATGTGGGAAAATGGTTAAACAAAAATCAACAAAGATCATGAAGTTTAAAGAAGGTCTAAAGGTAAATTAATGAACTCTTTTTCCAAAGCGTACTGTGAAAACTTTAAAACAATATTGAAATTAAAAGGAACATTTGGTAGGGTATAATTAAGGAAATGGATGGGCAACTTGGGCAGTCACTCTTGAATAATTTTGTTCTTATATTAATTCAACTGTGTCATGGTTTGACACGGGAAGAGAATTTCTTTTGTAAGGAAGAGGTCAGTCCAGTCAGGGGTCAGGTTTGGATACTGACACTTGGGGTGACCAATTGAAGGTGGACACGCCTCTGAGAACACAGAGGGGTTAAACGCAGAATTCCCAGGAGGACTCGTCCTTCTTTGGTTCCGGTCACCGCATGGTACGGACCTCCCCTGCCCAGGCTGGGTGGGGGAGGGGAGCCATGCGGCCTGCAGAGGTAGGCCAGGGGGTGAAGGATCGGAACCGGCTGGGCCAGCTCCTGCGGATGGAAGGGTGGAGAACATCTGGGATGTCTTTGTTCCCCCTCCCCTAAGCTAGAGGGAAAAGAGGTAGAGAGCCAGCAGACACCTGGGAGTTTGCCGGTGGAGGAGAAGGAGAAGTGGGGGGAAGATGCCCAGTTTGGGAGACTGGAGAAAGAGTCCTGGGCTGAGATTGCAGCCATCCGGGGAGTCCGGGAATTTTAAACCTTTCCAGTGAAATGAAGGCTTTATGAAATATTACTCCTCCTCAATTTGAAGGAAAGAGAGACAGCCTGGGACCTCAGATGTTCAGAGAAGAAGGTTGGGGGGAGATGATGGTGTGGCTTTTGGCTGGACTCTGCTTGTTTACCATAGACTGAACCACTCCTTCTTTCAAGAGGGACTGCATTTTAGGGGGATGCACTGGTGAGCCAAAAGACCTTCTTCAGCAACTACCAGTTCTGGAATGGACAGAGAGAGCTGAGGAGGGTGTGAGGATGCCCTCCATCTTCAGAGAAGAAGAGAAGGAGATCTCTGTCCTTGGACCCTCGGCCCCAGGGGAAAATGGGGGGGACTCTAGTCCCGAAGTGTGATACTGGACTGTTGTTCCTGGTGGTCCTTGGCAAAGCATCCTTAAAGGGGCCCTATAAGCAGTCTCTGTCCATGCCCGGTGGTGAGAGCACTGTGACATGGAGAAGAGAGTGTCACACTGGCCGGTGGGTCTGGGCGGTGCCACGTGTGACATTGGAAACACAAGAGGTGGCAGCTGTGTTTCCTGGGGGTCTATGGTGCAAGGGGGACTCCTCTCTTCCCCGATGGACTCAGTATTGATTATATCGAAGGGTGAAAACTTGATTAAGGATCCAAATGGGTCTCGCTGTGGTTTAGTGGAGTTGGGTGGTGGGAGGAGGAATGTTTTGGAAGGTTTTCATTTCGAAATTTGTGTGGTCTTTTTTTCTTTCCTTTCTTTTTTTTTTATAGTAGTAGTAGTAGTACTGTAATAAAGTTTTTCCTTTGTTATTAAGTTTGGCCTGCTTTGCTCTGTTCTTGATCACATTTCACAGTATTGATTGGTAGGTTATATTTTCATGGGGAACTGGCATTGTGCCAGCATCAAACCATGACAAACTGTTTATTTTTATTTTCATTATGAAGATGGTAGGTTGTTTTTTTTTTTACTTTGGACAGTTTTTTCTTATGTGATTTCTTTTTTACAGGTGAAACAAATTTTTGATTTTGATGGGCAAACACTTGCCTCATGTCTCTTTTTTCTATACTTAAAACATATTTTAAATTGTTCTTTTTGGTTCTGTTTTTAATTTATCTCAACTGTGGAAGCTTGTAGGTTAATGATCTTGAACGGTTTCCACAGGGCTTCGAAGGGTCAAGGGCCTTGGGGAGATTCTTCCAAAAATTAAATGCAAATTGAATTCATAATTGGTTCAGTTCATAAGAAGAAATATGATTACTTTGGCGACTGCCACAAGTGTTATGGGGTGTCGATAAGGGGACGGACCTGGGCGCCGCCATCCTAGGGAGAGACAAAATGGAGGATTCCAGGTCTGGGTTTCCAGTTCCACCTTCCTCCGAAGGAGGTCCCTCCATAAAAGAGGGTGATCTCCCAAGAAGGAGGGTCCCCTGACGGGAGGCCCCATAGGCGATCCTCCCCCCAGAGGAGGAGCCGGAATAAGGAATGGGGGATGGTCCAACCCCACCTTCCAACAAAGGGCACTGGCCCCACACGCGATTCGTGCAGGGGCCTCTGCGGAAGGGGTGGGGCTGGCGGGAAACTTGGGGCCGGAGAAGAAGGGTCCAGGCAGGAAAGGGTGTTCCAAGCGGCGTGGCCATCACCACCTTGGAAAGGAGTGCCGAGTGCACTGCAGTTCCCTCAAGAGATCTGAACAGTGTCCAGCGGGGTGCTTGGGGTGCTGTGGCCAACACCATCCCCAAGGGAGTGTGAAAGACAATAGCATAGTTTTTGTTCATCAGGAAAAGCCCCAGGGATTGTGTAAGTCACAGGAAACAGTGGGGCAGGAGGGCAGGATGTACTGCTATTAGTAGATAGTGGAATTGAGAGATCTTTGAAAGCTGCGTTACCATATTTGGAGAAGTTATTGCAGGGTTAACGCTACCTTGGAGGAAGAAGAATAGGAGCTTTCCTCAAACAACCACCGGACAGCAGAAAAAAGACCCCTAGCAACACGCCGCGCAGATGCAGAGCACGTCGAGAATATCACAAAGTCTGGAACTGAAGGGGTATAAGAACTGAAAGACCGGGAGGTGCGGGGCGAGCCGTTGGTGGGAGCAGAGGCTCCCCCGCCGCCCAGCGCTGCATTTGCCCGTACTGCTTGCTTGCTAAATTAATAAAATTCTCTTTATAAAGTGACACAAATTGGTCCCGTGTCATAATTTATAACAATATTTGGTGCCGTGACTTGGATAGAGAAATAGCCTGGTTGTTCTGGGACCCTCGGGAGGCGCCCCGCCTTTTTTTGGCGGCCCGATTGTCCCAGACCTCCCGGTTTCTCTACTGATGAAACTAAATTAAGCTGCGGGCAAAGGAGAGCCGGTTAAAAGGAGAACCGGTTACCCCTGTAAACCTTGTGCACGAAGATCCGAGCGAAGACGCAGGACGCGTGAGTACAGGCCGGTTTCCCACTCGGTTTGGGGTGGTTTTCCCGGAGTGTTGTGTGTGAGAGGTCTCATAGAGACCAAGTGAGTGCGGACCCTCAGTAGTGCGGTTCCCAATACCCGAGAGGGCTTGGGCCACGAACCAGGGGAGCGCGTGTGTGAAAAATTGAGTGCACTCCGGAAGATGGGACAGAGGAAAAGCAAGCCCTCTGGTCCCATGGGTGGGGGAACCCCTGCAAAGCTTCCCCAGATTCCTGAGGATAGTCCTCTAGGAGTAATGATAAATGATTGGCATGCCTTTCCCAGTAGAGGAAAGGGAAAAGATAAAGCAAAAATGGTCCACTATTTTAAGGAGGTTTTGGAAAATTTTGGACCCAAATTTGGGGAGTTTGGACCCAAATTTGGGGGATTTTAAAGAGGTTTTGGAGATTTGGAGCCAAGTTTGGAGGGTTCTGTCCCAAATCCAGGAGGTTCTGACCCAAATTTGGGGGTTTGGAGGCAGAATTTAAAGACTTGGACCTTAAATTTAGAGGTTTTGACCCAAATCTGGGGGATTATGACCCAAATCTGGGGGGTTGTGACCCAAATCTGGGGGGTATGGACCCAAAATTAGGAAGTTCTGACCCAAATCTGGGGGGATTTGACCCAGAGTTTGGGGGATTTTAAAGAGAAAAGGAGAATGATAAGGGAAAATGGGGATGAGAACCTAGGATAATAAACATCAACAGAGACCATTAGCAAACACTAAAAGGCCCCTGCAAAATCCCCACTGGAATAACCAAGACCCGCAGCATAGGACCCATATGGACGACCTGCAGAACATAATCATACAGGGCATTAAGAGAGCCGTCCCTAGGGGACAGAATGTGCAAAAAGCCTTTAAGGTGCAGGACGAGAGGAGGAGGCAGTGAGACAGGAGAAGGAGATTCTCTCAATCCCAGCCCTGAGGACTAAAAGGCAAGTAAGGCAATTATTGGGACTATTTAGGTACTGCAGGCAGTGGATAGGAAATTTCAGTAGAAAGATAAAACTTTTATATGTGTCATGGTTTGACGCTGGCACGATGCCAGCACCCCATGAAAATGCAATTTATCAATTGAATATTGTGAAATGCAATTGAGAACAGAGTAAAGCAGGCTAAACTTAATAATAAAGGAAAAAATTTATTATACTATTACTACTGTTACTATAAAAGGAAAAGAAAGAAAAGGAAAAAACTATACAAAATTTAAAATGAAAACTTTCTAAAATATTTCTCTTCTTATTACTTAACTCTACTAAATTATAGTGAGACTCATTTGGATCTTTAATTAAGTTTTTATCTTTTAAGATAATTAATACTGAGTTTATTGAGGAAGAGAGGAGTCCCCCTTGTATTACAGACTCTTAGGAAACACAACTGCTACCTCTTGTGTTTTCATGTTATATGTGGCACTGCTCAGACACACTGGCTAGTGTGACACATTTTTTTTTATGTTACAGTGTTCTTACTACTGTGCAGGGATAGAGATTGCTTATAGGGCTCTTTTAAGGATGCTTTGCTAAGGACTATTAGGAACAATAGTCTAGTGTTTTATTTCGGGACTATAATCTCTCTCATTTTCCCCTGGGGCAGAGGGTCTAAAAACAGAGATTGCTTTTTTTTTCCTCTGAAGACGAAGGGCATCTTTACACTCTCTTTAGCTCTCTCTGTCTATTCTTGAACTGGTAGTTGCTGAAGGAGGTCTGTACCTTGTGATGACCGGAACCAGAGAGAGCTAATTCTCTTGGGAATTCTGCTTTTAACCCCTCTGTGTTCTCAGAGGCGTGTCTACTTTTAATTGGTTATTTTAAGTGTCAGTATCTAAACTTGACTCTTGACTGGATTGCACCTGTACTTAGCCTCCCTGATCTGAAGAGACCTTTTTATCTGTTTGTTAATGTAGATGGGGGGACGGCATATGGAGTTTTGGCTCAAGATTGGGCTGGGAGTAAGAAACCAGTAGCCTACTTATCAAAGCTTCTGGATCCTGTTAGTCGTGGGTGGCCCACCTGTTTACAGGCAATAGTGGCAGCTGCTTTGCTGGTAGAAGAAACCGGTAAGATTACCTCTGGAAGCGAGTTAAGGGTAATGTCCCCCCATAACATAAGGGGAGTATTGCAGCCGAAAGCAGAAAAATGGATTACAGAGGCTAGGCTTTTGAAGTATGAAGGAATCCTAATTTCATCCCCTAAATTAACACTTGAGGCCACTGCCCTCCAAAATCCTGCACAGTTTCTGTATGGTGAGCCTCGCTCAGAATTAGCACATGATTGCCTCCAACAAATAGAAGAACAAATAAAGATTAGACCAGACCTGGAGGGGGAAGAACTGGAAACAGGAGATAAGCTGTTTGTGGATGGATCATCCAGGGTACTTAAAGGGAAAAGAAGGTCGGGATATGCTATAATCGATGGGAAAACCCTACAGGTAAAGGAATCTGGTCCCCTGAGCCCTAGCTGGTCCGCCCAGGCATGCGAATTGTATGCAGTATTAAGGGCTCTAAGATTATTAGAGGGAAAGGCGGGGACAATTTACACTGACTCAAAATATGCCTATGGTGTTGTGCACACTTTCGGGAAAATTTGGGAAGAAAGAAGTTTAACCAATTCACAGGGTAAAGGACTGCTGCATAAGAAAACAGATTTTGCAGGCAATAAGGGGTCCAAAAGAGTTGCTGTAGTGTACGTACGGGGACACCAGAAGGGCATGGGAAACACAATCAGAGGAAATAATCTAGCTGACCAGGAGGCAAAAAGAGCAGCACTACTAACTTAAAAATATAAAACGATGAGCATGCAACGGGAGAATTGTACCACCTGTGGGGGTGGTTTGGAATGTTTTTGTGAAAGCCCTGAGGAGAAATATTGCTGTTCACATGGCCCAAAATTCATTTGAACATTTACTGTTCAAGAAAAACAAAAATTAGACCGAATGGGAGTATGGGAAAAAGAGGAAGGTAAATGGATATTACCTGATGGTCGGGAGGTGTTGCCAAAAGCGATGGCATTGAGAGTATTACAGGCAATGCACAGCAAAACGCACTGGGGAACTCAAGCACTAATAGACCAATTTGCTATTAAAAATATGTGTATAGGGGTATATAACCTGGCCAAGCAGGTAACCAGTCACTGTCTAACCTGCTTAAAGGTAAATAAGCAGCAGCAAAGAGAGAGAGTGATGGGTGGTCAGAGCTGGTTCACAGACCCTTTTCTCACGTACAGGTGGATTTCACAGAGTTATCTAAAATAGGAAGGTATAAGTACTTGCTAGTCATAGTGGATCACCTCACCCACTATGTGGAAGCCTTCCCCACAGCAAGGGCAACTGCACATGTTGTAGTAAAAATAATACTGGAAGAGGTTATCCCCAGATATGGTATATTGGTGGCGGTAGACTCAGACCGGGGCCCTCACTTCACCTCGAAGGTGACAAAGGACATTTTTAATACTCTGAGAATACAGTGGAAACATCACACCCCATGGCACCCACAAAGTTCTGGAAGGGTGGAAAGGATGAATGGGGAAATTAAGAAACAATTGACTAAGTTATTTCATGGGTAAAATGCTTACCCCTCTAGCACTGTTGAACATCCGTACCCAACCTCGCACTGATGTGGGGGTTTCACCCTTTGAGATGCTGTTTGGGATGCCATATGACATTGAGGCCCCCATGAACCACCCATGTATAGAAAATTTTCAGATCAACACCTACATCACACAGCTAATGAACAGGAGAGAGGAGCTCCAGAAAAAGGGGCTGTTAGTGCAGAGACCACCTTTGGACCTCCCCATTCACAAAATAAAGCCTGGGGATAAAGTACTTATTAAAACTTGGAAAGAGACCTGCCTGACCTCACGTTGGGAAGGTCCGTTTGTTGTTTTGCTTACCACAGAAACTGCTATCAGAACAGCTGAGAAGGGGTGGACTCATGCGAGCCACGTCAAAGGTCCAGTCACCACAGACGACCACTGGAAAGTGACCAGCCAGCCTGGGGACTTGGAGGTTACCATTAAGAGAAACTGATGAACTCTGTATACATCATTCAAGTCGGTCACAAAGGGGAGCAAGAGGGATATAATTACCTGCTTGTTAGTGATTATTTGATAATTTGTAATAAGGTAAACTGTGATTGTTATCCGTTTGTATGCTTTGCATGTAAAGTTTGCCAAGAACGGTGGGGAGTCCAGTGCCGAAGGGGGAGGCTGCCCACTGGGGTTTGTACAGAATGTTACACGACTGATCGAGAATTAACCGAGGCTGTGTTGAAATTAGGGGAGTGGGAAATCAGTGGATTCCCTTTGAATCTGAGGAAAATTTACACCAGAGGGGTGCATCCAGAAAACTTTTGTTTGCACTCTAACGACCCCCACCATTTGTTGCCCAAATTATAAAAGAGTGTTGTTGAAGGGAACTAAAGGGGGTCCCGTGTGACCCACCCCCGGTCAAGGATAAGAACTGGGAACAGTACAAGGTTAGGCAGGAGCAGGGGAATGGGCGCTCAGGCGAGTACCGCTGCTGCCGAGAAGATGGTTTACCCCGCGGCTCGAAGCACCCGAGTCGGCGGGCGAGGCAGAGGGGAAAGAGCCAGGCCCCCAAAAATAGAATAATGCTGAAATGCTCCAACTATTGCCTGCCAAGTACTAAGTTCCTCCAGAAGACCAGTCTGATTACCCCCGAGACACCAACAGGGCAACAAACCCAAAAGGGGAAAATAAGGCATTATATAGTAAATGCAAGGTCAGGATGCCACCCTTATTGGCAAATTACTGGTATTACAATGTTTTTTTTACCCTATACTAAGGAGAGGGCTCCCAAGCTTTACATCAACCTTTTAAGTAGACACTAACCTGAGTGGATGGTGTGGGAATTCAGAACCAGAAAACATCCGGATCCCCTAGTTTTAACCCACAGTTATGTGAACTAGCCCCTATAGAGCCTTGTTTGGATAGAAACGGATTTTATATGTGCCCAGCATCAAACCCAGGAAAAGGGTATTGCAACTACCCTGGAGAATATTTCTGTGGGCACTGGGGCTGTGAAACAATAGCTTCAGATTGGTCAGTAGCAGGAGATAAATTCCTTAAAGTATCATGGGGGCCTTATGGATATAAACCTCCGCAGAGGGATTCCAGTGGTGGAATTGTGGACTCGGGGAACTGTCATTATTAAGGGAAGGCTAGAAGCATCACATCTGATGCTGATTAGAGCAAAATATGAGTCAATACCAGAAAACCTACAAACGGAAGAGATCCTAATTATAAGCCACCAAGAATTAAAAAGGTTTGATGAACAAAATGATGAAAAGACAAAAGGGGGGATTTGTGAAAGACAATAGCATAGTTTTTGTTCATCAGGAAAAGTCCCAGGGATTGTGTAAGTCACAGGAAACAGTGGGGCAGGAGGGCAGGATGTACTGCTATTAGTAGATAGTGGAATTGAGAGATCTTTGAAAGCTGCGTTACCATATTTGGAGAAGTTATTGCAGGGTTAACGCTACCTCGGAGGAAGAAGAATAGGAGCTTTCCTCAAAGGACCACCAGACAGCAGAAAAAAGACCCCTAGCAACACGCCGCGCAGATGCAGAGCATGTCGAGAATATCACAAAGTCCGGAACTGAAGGGGTATAAGAACTGAAAGACCGGGAGGTGCGGGGCGAGCCGTTGGGGGGAGCAGAGGCTCCCCGGCCGCCCAGCGCTGCATTTGCCCGTACTGCTTGCTTGCTAAATTAATAAAATTCTCTTTATAAAGTGACACAAATTGGTCCCGTGTCATAATTTATAACACATATCAAGAACTGCCTTATCAACACCTGGGCTAGGGAACATGGTATTGAGTGGGTGTACCACATCCCCTACCATGCACCAGCTGCAGGCAAAGTGGAGAGGTAAAATGGACTGTTAAAAACCACCTTAAAAGCATTGGGTGGGGGATCTTTCACAAATTGGGAGCAACATTTAGCAAAGGCCACCTGGTTAGTTAACAGCCGAGGTTCCACCAATCGAGCAGGTCCTGCCTAGTCTGAGTCCCTGAATATAGTAAACGGAGATAAAGTCCCAGTGGCACATGTCAGAGGTTTGTTAGGCAAAACAGTGTGGACCAATTCTGCCTCAAGTGCAGACAAACCCATTTGTGGGATTTTCTTTGCTCAGGGACCAGGTTGTACATGGTGGATAATGCAGAGAGATGGAGCAAAACGATGTGTACCTCAGGGAGATCTGATTGTGGGGTGAGACTCATGTGCAAATATCACTGTTTGCTGGATGTTACTGCCAGTGTCTGTACATGAAAAGACACAGACATGAGACAGAAGGAAATGTGTAAATGTCAAAGATTTGAGCAAGTGAAATAGAAGGAAATGTGCAAGTGCCAAAGGTTTGAGTAAGTGAGATGGAAGGAAATGTGTATGAGTAAGTGAACGATGGAAGTTTTTACTTGATGACGTTTTTACATGATGTTGATGATATGGAGATAAGGGGTGGAATGTCCCAGGGTGATGTTATGGTGTTTGTATCTCCAATCATGTGTTCTGTTTACGTTTGATATTATGTTCTGTGCTTTCAGAACTGACTCTGAAAGTGAAGGTTTGTTTTGCCTTGTTATCAGCTGGCTCACCTCCCCCCATGGTCTGCTGTCTAGAAAAGGCTAGTGCTGGCTGGCTGGCTTTGCTTGCTTGCTTGCTTGGCTTGCTTGCTTTGCCTGCTTGCTTGCTTTGCTTGCTTCTGCTTTTGCCTTTGCTTCCTAGTTAGGTTAGCTAAGCAGTCCAATTCTTTCCCTGGGCTGTTGCTTTTAAAGTCCATCATCTTTAGCCTGCCAGAGACCAGGTGGAGCAAGAGGTTGTCATCCTTGACGTCATCCTCGCTGCCCCCAGCAGCAGCAGCCCCACCTGGTGCAGCTTCTCCAGGGGCTCCTTCTCCTTCCCTGGGGCCAGACCAGGCTGTCAGGGCTCTGCCCAGGGCCCCAGACATCCATGAACCATGGCAAGCAAAACCAGGGGGATGGTGGCCCCCAGTGCTTGCCACACCAGGTCTCCAGCTTAGCTCCAGTCCTAGAGCTGCGTGTTCCCTTCTGCTGTCCCCTACTCAGAGCTACAGGCAGGACAAAACCTGTCTGGTTGGCTTTGCCACTGCTTGCCAAGCGATGTGTGGAGCTCTTACCTGCCAGGCCCCTAGATCCAATTGTGCACATGGATCTCTCCCATCTTCTAGGGCAGAGGAACACCCTGCACCCAAGGATCATGGAAAAGCTCTTCTAAGGATGGCCTGTCCAAGGGCTGCATGGACAAACACCTCTTAATGACATCCTGGCACTCTGGGGAGAGAAACCAGAAATCACCTGTCAGCTGGAGAAGTTGTCCCCATGTTCCCGTGCCCAGGCCATGCTGGGTGTGCCCAGAGCTGGGCCTAAACTTTCCCATCAATTCCCTGTTTTGGAGGAGAGCAGGAGAGCAGGACATGTGCCACCTCCTCAGCAGCTGCCAGAGCGGGATGCTCACGAGCTGCTGCTGTCTCCCAGCACTGGTATTGCCCCTGTGGCCAGAGATGAGGATCCACTTTGAGAGAGCCGTCGGAACAAGATCTGCCCCCAGATATCTCCTGGCCCCTCCTGAACGGGTGCTTCCCCATGACCAGGTGGTGCAGCAGGAGGCCCAGGGACCAGATCGTCGCTGCCTTGCCGTGGTAGTGTTGGTGGTGGATCCACTCTGGTGGGCTGTAGGACAGGGTTCCTGTGGAACACAGACAGAGTTCATCAGGGGGATGCTGCTGCTCGCAGAGCCTGGCCCCAGCACCCCTGGGCATGCGGGGGCTGCCCCAGTGGCACACGGTGTGACCGCTGATCTCTCGCCAGCACCTGGGGCTTGTGTACGGACTCGGCGCTGGAAAAGAAGCCACTGGTGCTGGAAGAGGGCAGCAGAAACCCTGGGAAGGCACAACCATTGTAATAAATATAAAGGTCTTTGTTCATCAAAATGAGCATTGAAGGAGATAAGAATTCGAACTGAGTAGGGAATTTGAAGATGTGGGAGGAGAAGGGGGTGGGGGCCGAGGGAACAGCAAGTATCCTGCTTAAGAATTGTGCAGCTTCAACCAGCATAGAAGACTGTGTAATTAATTATATACAAGTTAACTTTTAGGCCAAGGACAATCTGCAAGGAAGATGAAGAGCCTTCATCCCTACGACCAGCAAGGGCAGAAAAAAGACCCCCTAGCAACCAATTGCACCGGTGCAGAGTGCATTGAGAGAAAATATGTCAACTGGGGGAAAAAAAAATAAAAAAGGGACTATAAAAACAAAAAGGGCAAAGGGGGAGGGAGTGCTGTGGTACAGCGGAGACTCCCCGGCCGCCCAACACTGTCTTTTGCTTGCTACCGCTTGCTTAATAAATTCTTGTTAATTGATTTATCTATAATTGGCCTCCCCAGTTGAATTTGTCCATAACAAGTTTGGTGCCGTGACTCAGATAAGGGCGACCGGGTGGGAATTCCTAATCAGGGAGGCGCCCCGCTGCCTTTCAGCGGCCCTGGTGCAGGCTTTTCCTTCCCGGACCCTTACTGACTAACCTAAATTTGGCATTAAGCAAAAGGGATGCAGGGAAACTTTGTGCACGAAGCCCGGGCGAAGACGCAGGACAGCGTGAGTATAAAAGTGGGGATCCGCTCGGCTGGGGTTGGGATCCCAGGACATAACACATGAGACATCCTTTTAGGACGAGGCAAGTGCGGACCTCTAAGTAGCGCGGTTTCCAGACCCCGAGAGGGGCTGGGCTGCGAACAGGGGGCCGCGAGTGTGTGTGTGCGTGAAGGTGTCCTGGAAGATGGGACAGAGGAAAAGCAAGCCCTCTGCTTCCATGGGGAGGAGGACCCCGCTGAAGCTTCCCCAGATACCCCGTGACAGTCTGTTAGGTCTAATGATAAAATCTTGGGATGAATATCCTTCAAGAAAAGGGAAGGATAGGGCAAAAATGATACATTACTGTATGGAAGTATGGGGAGGGAAAAAAATCCATGGTGATAATTTATTTTGGCCAGTGTTTGGAAGCTTCGAGGACTGGATTTGCCAGGCATTAAACATTTATGTAAACTCTAAAGAACCTTTTGATATGGAAGAGAGCAAGTTGCCACTCTGGATAGTGGGGGAAACAAGAACAAAATTTTTTGCCTTAAGCACCCAAGGAGGGAAAAAGAAAAGTAAAAAGCCTGAGGAAATTCCAACTGCAACCCCTTTACCATACATACCACCTCCTCCTCCACCCCCATCAGCACCACCCGTAATCTACCCTGATTTAGATCAAGGGGGAGATTTGGGTAAACAAGAGGTAGAAATCCTGGAGCTGATTCTGGAGGAAAATCGCCGTGTTACTCATAGCCAAACTACGGGGGAAAGAGAAAGGGAAGGGCAAGCTCTATATCCATGAAGGGAAGTAGTTTTTGGAATGATCCCTAACCCCAATGCTGGTCAGCAGGGACAACCAGCCCAAATTCCGGGAATAGGTTATGTGGAGGTACCTCTCAACTCAGGAGATGTGAGGGAGTTCAAGAAAGAGATGGGACACCTATTGGAAGACCCCCTTGGAGTTGCAGAGCGGGTAGATCAGTTCCTGGGGCCCAGTGTGTATACGTGGGACGAAATGCAGTCAATACTGGGGATCCTATTCACATCTGAGGAGCGAGGGATGATCAGGACGGCCGGTATGAGGATTTGGGATAGAGATCATCAGGCAGGACCCCAAGCAGATACTAAGTGGCCTTTGCTGTGTCCTAGTTGGGATAAGCAGGATCCCCGGCATAGGACACATATGTCAGACTTAAGAACAATTCTTATCCAAGGGATCAGAGAATCAGTCCCTAAGGGGCAGAATGTAAATAAAGCTTTTTGTGAGAGTCAAAAGAAAGATGAGAACCCCACGGAATGGTTAGGACGGCTCTGGAGATCTTTTCAGCTGTACTCTGGAGTAAATCCCGACACTCCAGAAGGACAGATGTTGTTAAAGACTCAATTGGTGGCCAGAGCCTGGCCTGACATTAGGAGAAAGTTGGAAAAGATTGAGGATTGGCACGGTAGAGGCCTGGATGAGTTGTTGGGGAAGCTCAGAAAGGGTATGTCGGGAGAGAGGAGGAAGGACAGAGGAAACAAGCGAGAGTAATGATGGCTGTGGTACGTGAAGGGCAGAAGGGAACGCCTGATCGGTTCCAGGGAAGTAAGCCAAGCGGCCAGGGGGTAGAAGGAGGGAGAAGAGAAAAGGAGGGTGGACAGGGAAGCTGCTTTTATTGTGGTAAGAGAGGGCATTTTTGGCGGGAATGCAGAAAAAGGTTGGCAGATGAAAAGCAATTCAAGGAAGATTGAGGGGGTCAGGGGCTCTATTTGCTGGGGGCCAAGGAAAGATCAGAGCCCCTGGTAAAACTGAGAATTGGTCCCCAGCAGCAAGAATATGAGTTCCTTGTGGACTCAGGAGCCAAGAGATCAACGGTTCAAACCCTTCCCTCAGGGTGTAAATTATCAAGATAAACAATACAGGTAGTTGGGGCAAAAGGGGAACCCTTTAAAGTACCTGTAATTAAAGATGTGATTTTTGAAACCAGCTCCAAAATAGGTATAGGGTCACTGCTATTAGTTCCAGAGGCTGACTTTAACTTACTGGGACTAGATTTGATGATTGAATTAGGAATTGGAATCGACATAAATGACAAAATGCTAAATATTAAATTTAGCGTTTTGTCATATTAAATTTAAATGTTCTCTTCGGGTAGAGGACAAACAGAAAATTAATCCTGAAGTATGGTATACCCCAGAAACAGTGGGCTAATAGGACATAAAGCCCTTTGAAGTAATGTTAAGGAATCCTGAAGTCCCAGTTAGAGTTAAGCAATACCCAATTCCAAATGAAGGAAGGAAAGGGGTCAAACCTGAAATTGAGAGATTAAAAGCACAAGGGTTATTAGAACCCTGCATGTCCCCTTTTAATACTCCTATCCTTCCTGTAAAAAAACCCAATGGAAAATATCGTTTGGTACGTGATATAAGAGAAATTAACAAAAGGACTGTAGAAAGATTCCCTGTAGTAGCTAACCCTTATACTTTATTAAGTCAGTTAGGCCCTAAAAATCAGTGGTATACTGTTATAGATTGAAAGAAAGCATTTTGGGCATGTCCCCTCAAAGAGAGTTGTAGGGACTATTTTGCCTTTTAATGGGAAGACCCAGACACCCACAGGAAACAACAACTCTGTTGGACGGTACTCCCACAAGGGTTCACAGAGTCCCCTGATTTCTTTGGCCAGGCACTGGAGCAGCTGCTTACAGATTTTCAATTGGAAGAAGGGGCTGTCCTGATTCAGTATGTAGATGACTTGTTAATAGATGGAAAAGAAGAGGAAGTTGTCAGGGAAGAGAGTATAAGATTACTCAATTTTCTAAGCCTGAAAGGACTCAAAGTGTCAAAATCCAAACTACAATTTGTGGAAAAAGAAGTGAAGTATCTCGGACATAGACTGAGTAAAGGAATGAAGAAATTAGATCCGGAAAGGGTTAAGGGAATCTTGGCTATGCCAGAGCCAAGGAGGAAGCAGGAGGTTAGACAGCTGCTAGGATTGTTTGGGTACTGTAGACAATGGATAGAAGGATTTAGCGGGAAAGTAAAATTCCTATATGAGACACTAACAAAAGACGGCTTGCTTAGGTGGACTCAGGAAGATGAGAAAAAACTACAGGACCTTAAGGCAGAATTAGTAAATGCACCGGTTCTCAGTCTTCCTGATTTAAAAAGGCCCTTTTATCTTTTTGTAAACATTAAGGATGGTACAGCATACGGAGTATTAGCTCAAGATTGGGCAGGGAGTAAAAAACCAGTGGCTTATTTATCAAAACTGCTAGACCCAGTATCTAGGGGTTGGCCCACTTGTTTACAAACAATAGTTGCAGCAGCACAGTTAGTAGAGGAAACAGTAAAAATAACTTTTGGAGGGGAATTGCATGTACTATCTCCCCACAACATTCGAGGGGTGTTACAGCAAAAAGCAGAGAAATGGATCACAGATGCTAGGCTCCTAAAATATGAGGGAATCCTGATTTCTTCACCAAAATTAAGCTTAGAAGCCACTTCCCTCCAAAACCCTGCTCAATTTCTGTACGGAGAACCTAGCAAAAACTTGACACACGATTGCCTAAAAATTATTGAAGAACAGACAAAGATAAGGCCTGGTTTGGAGGAAGAAGAACCAGAAGATGGTAGGAAATTATTTGTGGATGGGTCGTCTTGAGTAATAGATGGAAAAAGAAAATCAGGTTATGCTGTAATTGATGGAAAAACCTTGAAGGTAATAGCATCAGGGCCATTAGCCCAGGGTGGTTGGCACAGGCTTGTGAGTTATATGCAGTATTACGGGCCTTAGAGCTGTTAAAAGGAAAGGTTGCAACCATTTATACAGACTCAAAATATGCTTATGGGGTACTACATACATTTGGAAAAATATGGGAAGAAAGGGGCTTGATTAATTCACAGGGAAAGGGATTAATTCAAGAGGATCTAATTAGGAGAGTACTGCAAGCTTTAAGGTTGCCTGAAGGTATCCCTGTAGTTCACATAAGAGGCCACTAGAGCCCCGGGGATATGTAACCACATAAGGGGCAAAAATGTTGCTGTTCAAGAGGCAAAGAATGAATAAACATACACTTTCTAACTTTAAACTGTTAGAGAGTTTTTGTCCGTCATAGTTGGATATCGATACTGGATCAATATCCATATTTTTTTAATAAATCAGGGAGAGAAGCCCACATTTTCTCTCTTCCCTCCTACACTGCCCCCCAAAATAACAGTGATCCCAAAGCAAACAAGGGCAGTGGAGCAGCCCAAGCCCTTCCTTGCCTGCAAAGCAAAGCAGCCCCTGCACAGGGTCTGGAATCCCACCTCTGCTCCCACCATGGAGGTTTGTTTGTGTCAGGCTGGCTGCCCCAGCCCCAGCCCCAGCCTCAGCCCAGGCCATGCTGGGTGCTGGGGGCTGTTGGCAGGGCCAGGAGCCCACTCCCATTTTGTATCCACCCCAACCCGTGCCCCCAGCCCTGCCAAAAAGCAGCCTGGCAGCCGACTGAAGTTGCATCTGCCCCAGCACAGGGGGAACCTTTTGTTCCCAGCCAGTCTGAGCAATGCCCAAATCTGGGAGCATTTCCCCAGCTGTGGACTCATCTGCAAATTCGCTGTGGAGCCTGGCTTTGAAGACAGTGCCAGAAGTCCATCATCTTCAGCTGCCAGTGGCCCACTTGAGGAAGAGTTTGTCATCCTTGATGTCATCCTCACTGTCTCCAGCAGCAGCAGCAGCCCCACCTGGTACAGCTTCTCCAGGGGCTCCTTCTCCTTCCCTGGGGGTCAGACCAGGCTGTCAGGGTTCTGCCCAGGGCCCCAGCTGTCAGGGAACCAGGACACGCAAAACCAGCTCGGATGGCAGCCACCAGTGCTGGGCAGAGCAGCTCAGCTCCAGCACAAGGGCTTTCCCACCCAAAGACCCCAGTGCATTGATACAGGCAGGGAAAAAAGTCTGGGTTTCCTTGCTTCTGATTGCCAGGGCATGTGTGGAGCTGTAACTCACCAGGGCCCTGCAGCAAAGTGTGCATGTGGCTCTCTCCCTTCTTCTACGGCAGGTGAATATCCTGTATCCAAGGTTCACAGAACAGGTCTTCTAAGGAAGGTCTGTCCAAGAAGTGCATGGATAAACACCCCCTGATAAGATCTTGGCACTCTGGGCAGAGAAACCAGAAACCAGCGGTCAGCTAGAGAAGGCTCCTGTCTGCTTTGCCCCACTCTTCCCATGCCCAGGCCATGCTGCTTTTGTGCTCCGAATTGGGCCTAAACTTTCTCATCAATTCTCTGTTGTGGAGGAGAGCAGGAGAGCAGGACATGTGCCACCTCCTCAGCGGCTGCCAGAGCGAGATGCTCACGAGCTGCTGCTGTCTCCCAGCACTGGTACTCCCCCATGGCCAGAAATGAGGATCCACCTGGAGAGAGCCGCTGTGGCAGCGAGAGCTGATGGTCCCAGCTGATCTTCCGGCCCCTCCTGAAAGGGTGCTGCCCGCAGACCATCTGGTGCAGCAGGATGCCCAGGGACCAGATCGTTGCTGCCTCTCCGTAGTACCAGCCCAAGTGGGTCCATTCCGGGGGGCTGTATGACACTGTTCCTGTGGAATACAGATGGAGTTCATCAGGGGGATGCTGCTGCTTCCAGAGCCTGGCCCCAGCATCCCTGGGCGTGCAGGGGCTGCCCCAGTGGCACACGGGGCGACTGCTGCACTCTCGCCAGCACCTGGGACTTGTCTACAAACTCAGGGCTGGACAAGAAGCCACTGGTGATGGAAGAGGGCAGCAGAAGCCCCAGCAAGGCCTGACCATGACATGTAAAGCAAAAACCCACTCAGGGCTGGGGGAAAAAACATGTCCTTATCCTCCCTGCCTGCAGTGCCCCAAAAATATTATGAAGCCAAGACAAACAAGGTGATTGGAGCAGCCCAAGCCCTTCCTCTCACCTGCACACCAAACTGGCTGGTGCACTGGTCCTGGCCCGATGTAGTAGATAGGGACAGGCGAACGGAAGATCCCGGGATGTGACGGAAAGAAAGACCCTTCCCCCTTCACCCTGCAACACATTATCTACCACCCCCAGAACATGTAACCACACCTAACCCAGTAGTTTTCCACTCCTGACTAACCCTAGAGGCCCTACCAACCCCCCCTGACGTAGCAAAGTCCCCCAAGACTATTTAAACCCATGAGATAAGATAATAAACGCTTTCGACCATCCACCACATGGGTGTCAGCGTGTGTCGTTAGCCCGAGTAGCCCGGACTAGGCCGGGCTGCCGTGCTGCTCCTTGCGAACCAGGTCGCCGTTGCCTCCCCTGAAGGCAACAGGTCCTGGAGGTATTTGGTGTTATTTATGCAAATGAGATTCAAATTAGGGCTGCAGACAGGGTCTCTGGGGGGGCTTCAGGGAAGTTTGGGAGGAAAAGGATGGGTTCATATGCAAATGAGATGCTTATAGGGGGCTGTAGATGGTCTCTGCAGGGGTCCTGGGGAGATTTGGGGGGTGTCTATGTAAATGAGGTCTGTGGGAGAGTTCTCTGTGAGGGGTCCTTATGCAAATGAGATGCTAATGAAGGGATTGGTCAGGGTGGGGCTGGGGCCGATGGGGCCCGTATGAGCCAGAACCGGGACCTGTGGGACCGGGATGGGATGGGATGGGATGGGATGGGATGGGATGGGATGGGATGGGATGGGATGGGATGGGACGGGATGGGACGGGATGGGATGGGATGGGATGGGATGGGATGGGATGGGATGGGATGGGATGGGACGGGACGGGACGGGATGGGACAGGATGGCAAGGCATGGCATGGCATGGGATCTGCAGGACTGGGATCTGCTGGGTTTGGGGTGTCTGGAACTGGCATCTCCATCATCCACTGGAACTGGGATCAGCCGGGTTTAGGGTTTCCTGAGTCAGGGATCCACTGGGGCTGGGATCTGCTGGAGCCGGGACCTGCTGGGACGGGATCAGAAAGGTTTGGGGGTTCTGGAACTGGGATCTGCTGGGATCTGGGATCTGCCGGGGCTGGGATCTGCTGGGTCAGGGATCCGCTTGATCTGGGATCCACTGGATCTGGGATCTGCTGGGTTTGGGGCTTTCAGGTCAGGGATCTGCTGGGATTTGGATCCACTGGGGCTGGGATCTGCTGGACTGGGGGTCTGTGGATGCAGGGATGATCCCCAGATGAGATCCCTGGGATCTGCTGGGGTCGGGATCTGTTCTTTGATCTGCGATCTCCTGTGGCTGGAGCATCTGATGTCTCCTGGAGCTGGGATCCACTGGACCTGGAGCAGTCACTCAGTGGGGATTTACTGGGAATGAGATCTGCTGGGTTTGGGATCTGCTAGGAATTGGATCTACCGGGAATGGGATCTGCTGCGAATGGGATTTGCTGGCCCTGGGATCTGCCGGGGCCTGGATCTGCAGGACTGAGACCCACTGAATCTGGGATCTCCAGGTGCTGGGATGAGCTGGAAGGGGAATCGCTGGGATCTGAGATCTGCAGCTCTGGGACCCACCAGAACTGGGATCTACTGCAGTCAGGAAATGAGGCTCTGGGATCTGCTAGACCCAGGATCCACTGGATCCAGGATCAAAAGGTGCCAGGACAGGCTGGAAAGGGAATCTCCAGAATCTGGCAGAGCTAGGATCTGATAGAACCAGCAGCTCTTCCCTGGGAGCATCCCTTGGATGGAATGTGGGAGGTGGAATCACAGTTTGGACCCAGAAGAACTGTTCCTGTCCATGGGAAGGACAGCACGGAGCCCCTTGGATACTTGGGATTTTGGAGGCCAAATCCCAGTTTTGGCCGTGGACACCTTGTGGAGAAGGACGGATTTTTCCTCATGAAAGAAAAGCACCAAATCTAAGAGTTTGGGAAGAAGATCAGAGGTGGCCATTGTAGGAGAGGACAGCCAGAGCTGTCCCTCATGGCAGCTTCTGGCTCGGAAGAGCCCTTGGATATTCGGAATTTTGGAGGTAGATTCTCAGTGTTGTCCATGGGCACCTGGACATGAAAGGGGTTTAACTCCTCATGCAGTTCTGCAGCCAATCACAAACCCCCCAAATTTTCACAGCCAATCACAAAACCCCCAGATTTTCACAGCCAATCACAGAAACCTCAAATTTTTGCACCCACCCCATCAAATCCTCACATAAATCCCAAACATTTGCAGCCACCCCATCAACCTGCCCAGAGGGAGGAGCCAAGAATTTCTACCTGGATATAATCTCGGGTTTCTGGAAGAACACCAGAACAGCCTTTTCACTGGATTCCCAGAGGAACAGCTGGGGTTTTCCACTGCCTCTTCAGAGGAAGACTACACCCTTCTACAGGATCACTGCTCCAACAGAACCACAGCTGACACTGCAGGAGGACTGCAGCCACCATTCCAATTAGACTGCTACCAATGCCCTGACCAAAAGGGTGTCAGGTCATATTCTGACTCTGCCAGTGTTGTTTTGCATTACTGCATTGTTTATTTTCTCTTTTTATTTTTTCCCTAATAAAGAGCTGTTATTCCTGCTTCCATACCTTTGCCTGAAAACCCTGCATCATTTCAAATTTACAACAATTCAGAGGGAGGGGGTTTACAGTTTCCAGTTCAGCAGAGGCTCCTGCCTTCCTTAGCAGACACCTGTCTTCCCAAACCCAGACAGTTGCCATGGCAACCTCTGGCATCCCATTCCCAGGGTCATGGGATCCCAGAAGCACAGAATTGGCTGAGCTGGGAGGGACCCATCGGGATCCTCGAGTCCAACTGCTGGCCCTGCACAGGACACCCCAACACTGCCAGCCTGGGCCTGGCAGCGCTGTCCAAACGCTGCTGGAGCTCAGAGAGCCCTGGAGCTGTGACCCTTCCCTGGGGAGCCTGGGCAGTGCCCCAGCAGCCTCTGGGCAAAAACCTTTCCCCGAGATCCAACCTCAGCCTGCCCCGACTCAGCTGCAGCCGCTCCCTGCACTCCTGTCCCTGGGCACCAGAGTGAAGAGGTTCCCTCAGCCCCAGCCAGGGACCCGCTCCCAAGGCTGCTGCCATGGCCACCAGGGCTGGCACCAGCTGCGATGCTCGGTTTCCATGGGCCGGGCTTCAGGAATGGGATTCCCCAATTTCCTGCTCCCGCTAAAACCGCGCTGCCGCTCGCTGCCCTCCTGCCTCCCATGGAAAGCACAAAAGGCAAAGATCCTGGGCTGGGATAAGAACAATTTACTGGGAACAGCAACGAGATAAAGAACAAACAGGAACAGAAACAATACTGACAACAGAAGGGATAAGAAAAACTATTTACAGGGAAAATTTCAACATCAGTGACTGTCCCTTCCCGGCCATGTATTTCCTCCTGCCGTGAAAGGACACCCTTCTCCTAAGGGGGAGAGAGAGAGAGAGAGGGTCCCTTTCCTGCCCCTGGCAATGAACTGAGATAGTTGTGAATGTAATGACAGGGCCATGGCCAGACCCTCATGTTCTTCAATCCCACATCAGGTCATTGGCAGGGGCAGGAGAAGGTACAGGTGTCTTCCCAGCATGGATCACAGGGAACAGGGATCACCAGGGCTCTTCCCAATGTGGGTTCTTCAATGGGGGATGAAGCTGGAGCGGTGCACAAAGCTCCTCCGGCAGTTGGGGCACTCGCAGGGCTTCCCTCACTGTGGCTCCGTTGGTGTCTGGTCAAGGCAGAGCTCCAGGTAAAGCTCTTCCCACACTGGGGACACTTGTAGGGCCTCTCCCCAGTGTGGATGCGCCGGTGGGTGGCGAGGCTGAAGTTGCACTTGAAACCCTTCCCGCAGTCAGGGCAGCGGAAGGGCCTCTCCTCAGTGTGGATCCGCTCGTGCAGGAGGAGATTGAAGCTGGTGTGAAACCTCTTCTGACACTGGGGACACTTGTAGGGCCTCTCCCGAGTGTGGATCCGCTGGTGGATGACAAGTTTGGAGCTGCAGCTGAAGCCCTTCCCACACTCCCCACACTCGTAGGGCCATTCCCCGGTGTGGATCATCTGGTGGCAGATCAGGGTGTTGCTCCGCCTGAAGCTCTTCCCACACTCCAAGCACTTGTAGGGCTTCTCCCCATGGTGAACCTGCTCATGGACTTCCAGCTCTGAGCTCTGGCTGGAGCTCTGTCCACCTTCCTGGCACAGGGTGGGTCTTTTCTCCTCGGAGCACCCTGGGCTGGGTTTGCAGCCCCTCCTCCTGTGGGATCTCCAGGGCTTTTCCTCCCCGTTGGATTCCTGTGCCCTGGAGTTGCTCAAAATGGTCTCTTCCATGAGGTTCTGCCGTGGGGATTTGTCCTCCCTGCTCTCCATCCTCAGCTCCTTGTCTGGGAAGGACGGACAAGGAGAGGATGGGATTTGCCTTCGTGCCAGAGGGAAGGGGAAGGAGGACGGTGTCATCAGGGGGTTGTCCTGCAGCCAGGGGCCATACTGGGCTGGGAGATGGAGCAGGAGAGAGGGGGAAAGGGGCACTGACTACCTCCTCACCTGCCTGGGTGACCCGGGGAATCTTCCTCTTTCTTGTAGCCTCCCTCTCCATCCAGCCAAGCTTTGGGAATAAGAAGTCCTGGATTGGGGAAAACAATGTATGGGCACATTGGGTCAGGGGAGTCCTACTGCCCA